TAGTTCACTACAATTAAAGAGCATTCTGAAACCCAAAAATGACAGAAATGGGGCAAACTTCCCACACAGAACCCCCATGACCAACAGAAAATACTTAAGGCCATCCAGTCCAACTCTCTTCACCAGGGCAAGAAAATGTAATCAGAGCCCTCCTGACAAAGAGCCATCCAGTCATAAATATAGATAGATAGATATGATTCTCACACACACACACAGATATAGTATCATAGATTTGTAAGAGACCCTTAAAGAAGGACTATGATATGTTGCATATTCCAGAGTAAGCAAACCAGTCACTCTCCACATCAACACTGACAAAAAAACAAGAAATACTGTCTACTCACAAGCATAAAGGAATTACATATATTAGAAACCAACACTTCCTCATTACTTTATTTTCCAGATCACCAGACTGGGCCACAGCAACGCCTGGCAGGGGACAGCTAGTGTTATTAATAAATAGGTTAAAAACCACTAGTCCAGAAACAAAACAAAAGCGAGCCCGTTTTTATATCCATCCATTACAAGAACAACATTTATTTTTATCCCATTACCTCTTGTTTTTAACAAGTGACTGTTCTTTTTGAACATGTCCATAAGCACTTCTATCCACATTGATAGAAGTGAGATAAGACTTAAACTTGTTGATTCTTGATTAAGGTCTGCTATAGTTGGGCTCCCACACATGAAAAAGCACCTATAAGAACTCTGTGTGTTAGCTGTGCAGCTGTCTAGAGCCCTCCCTCCAACTACTTCCACACTGCTGATAGATTTAAACGTTTTTACTGTAATTGGTTTGTTGGGGTTTTTTTTGGGGGGGGGGGTTGGTAATATGCTCCTCAAAGTGAATTTCTGAGCCCCTCATTGACTCATGACAATTCTTTTGCCAATTTTGCAACTGAGCTGCACTTTGCATTCCAGCAAGCTGTCAAAAATAATTGAGATGCATTCTCCAGCCCAGGAAATTACCGCATGGAGCTCTGCTCGTCTTCATTGTACTGGAATCTGATACATGAAAAGTTTTACTTTCTTAATTTTTCTTTCTAATTCTCCTTTTATTAAAACAACAATAAGAAGCAGAATATTTTTCAGAGTCAAATGTTCTAAACAAAAATATTTACAAAGTACTGGCCATCTCTGGCAATTTTTCACTGGATCAATTTTTGGCAACTGTTTCCAATTTGGCAGTTATTACTTCAGGCATCATTTTCACCTATTTCACCTGTGCTGCTTCCAAAATGTTTTTTTTTCTATTTGAACAAGGTGGAAGGGTGGATTGGAAAGGAGTGCAGCTCGGAAAATTCAGATATTCATTATAAACGATGACTTGTGGCCGAGTATGATTGTCTTCCAGAGGTAGAGTCTCGGCAGTGGATCCATAAATACCTATTCTGGATCCACATTTCACAAGGAGGACATCAGTTTGCAGATGGAAGGCACTTTCCCTGCCTACACCTACCTTTTTCCTTTCCCCTTCCCTATATTCTCTTTTCCCTTCCTTCCTCTAGTTAGAATATTAAAGTGCCATGGATTCCCAGATTTTGATGTTTATGCCGTATTCTTTAAGGTTAGTGTCCACTGGCATTCTGTTTTCTGTTCTTTTGCTGAGAGTAAAGTGACTGCTTTTGGAAGACAATAATCAGGCATTCGGACAACATGGTGAGTAGAGCCTTAACAGTGGGTCCATAAGTGACTGTGAAGACCTATCCTGGATCCACATGGTCTCTCACAATGAGGACATTGATTTTCAGATGGAAGGCGGTCATAACAAATATCCAAGTTCCAAAACTCATTTGTCCTTTTCAACCACATGTTAGTGACCCCTCTAGATGTGGCAGTCCTGTCAGGGATAAATAAAAGGCAGTCTAGTATTTAGGTTGTCTTTTCCAGCCCCCTCCCCATATGGGGTGAGCTGAGTGGATCCTAAATAGGGGTGTTCATAGAATCATAGAATTGGAAGAGACCACATGGGTCATCTAGTCCAACCCCTGGCATGCATGAAAATCACAATCAAAGCACCCCTGACAGATAGTAATCCAACCTCTATTTAAAAACAATACCAGCTAGACAGAATAATTTCTCCAATGGCATAGGGCGTAGATACCTTGTGATAATGCAGCATGTCTCCTTAAGAGCCACATCCACTGTTTTAACGTCAGATGGATTCCACGTTGCACATGTGTATTCAGCAGCAGAGTAGCAAAGTGCAAGGGCATGTGGCATGGAAGGCTGGAAACTTGTGCAATATCATCTGGAGGAGGAGATAATTCTCACCCATCAAGTGACAGTTGGAAAAGACACTTTGCCATGCCATTTCTCTGAAAGGCTGTTGCGTGATGTTGCTGCAGGGAGGTCACAGGGAGAGGAAGGCCCTCATGATATCCTGCCCTCAAGTTTTTGGTTTTTGGGGTTTTTTTTTTTATGTCAGATGCAACTTGAGAAATTGCAAGTCACTTCTGGTGTGATAGAATTTGCCACCTGCAGGGATGTTGCCCAGGATGACTGATATTTTACCATCCTTGTGGGAAGCTTCTCTAAACCTTACTCTTATGGTTAGAGTAAGGTTTAGAGTTAGGGTAAGGTTTAGGGTTTGGGTTAGCATAAGGGTCAGGGTAAGGTTTAGGGTTTGGGTTAGAGTAAGGGGTTAGGTAAGGGGTTAGGCTTAGGCTTATGGTACGGTTTAGGGCTAGGGTAAGGGTTTCACCATTAAAGAAGTTTTACATTCCTTCAATATTATCTGTCTTCGGTCTCGCACAAACAGTGCTCCCGAAGGAGCAATGCGGCATCTCTGTAACGCTAGGAGGTTCCAGACCCAGCTATCATACTATTTATTTATTTATTTATTTAATGACATTTATATGCCACCATCTCACACCGAGGGGGACTCAGAGTAGCTTACAAGATGTATTTACATACATATATATGAAGAAGGACAATTATATGTTGCAAGTTCCAGAGTAGGCAAACCAGACACTCTCCACATCAACACTGACAAAGAAACAAGAAATACTGTTTACCCACAAGCAGAAAAAAATTACATATATCAGAAATAATCACTTTCTCATTACTTTATTTTCCAGATCACCAGATTAGGTCACAGCAACGCATGGCAGGGGACAGCTAGTTTTTATATTATTAGTATAGTACAATATCAGTATTATATATTACTATATTGTACTATACCATTATATTGTAATATTATTAGTAACGTTACATGTAATCTAAAATATATAATTATAATATATTATTAGCAGTATTGTATTGTACTAGCGGTCCCCTGCCACGCGTTGCTGTGGCCCAGTCTGTTTGATATGGAAAACAAAGTAAGGAGAAAGTGTTGGTTTCTAATATATGTAATTGCTTGATGCTTGTGGGTAAACAGTATTTCTTGTTGTTTCTTTGTCAGTGTTGATGTGGAGAGTGTCTGGTTTGCCTACTCTGGAACATTCAAGATATCATTGTCCTTCTTTAAGGGTCCCTTTCAAATCTATAATGCTATGTTTTTGTGTGTGTAAATCACAAAATTGCTGTTTTTAAATTGTTTTAAATTGCTTTTAAATTTTGTTAGATTTTAGCCATTCTTGTAAGCCGCTCCAAGCCCCAGGGGAGTGGCAGCATATAAGTTTAAATAATAAATAAATAAATATCTATATCTATGGCTGGGTGGCTCTTTGTCAGGAGGGCTTTGATTACATTTTCTTGCCTTGGTGAAGGGAGTTGGATTGGATGGTCTTAAGTATTTTCTGATGGTCATGGGGGTTCTGTGTGGGAAGTTTACCCCGATTCTGTCATTCGTGGGGTTCAGAATGCTCTTTGATTGCAGGTGAACTGTGAATCCCAGTGACTACAACTCCCAAATGTCAAGGTCTATTTTCCCCAAACTCCATCTGTGTTCATATTTGGGCATATTGAGTGCTTGTGCCAAGTTTGGTCCAGATCCATCATTGTTTGAGTCCACAGTGCTCTCTGGATGTAGGTGAGCTACAACTCCCAAACTCAAGGTCAATGCCCACCAAACTCTTCCAGTATTTTCTGTTGGTCAGGGGAGTTCTGTGTGTGGTGGAGGCTCCTTCTTTGGAAGCTTTTAAACAGAAGCTGGATGGCCATCTGTCGGGGGTGCTTTGAATGGGATTTCCCTGCTTCTAGGCAGGGGGCTGGACTGGATGGCCCATGAGGTCTCCTCCAACTCTATGATTTTATGATTCAATTCCATCGTTGCTGGAGTTCAGAATGCTCTTTGATTGTAGGTGAACTATAAATCCCAGCAGCTACAACTCCCAAATGACAAAATCAATTTTTTTTAGTGCTGTCACAGCAACTACAACTCCCAAATGACAAAATCATAATTTTTGAGTGATGGTCACTCCTTGTGTTGTAAGACTTTTTGTTGCCAAATTTGGTGTGATTTCTTTCATTGGTTCTTTTGTTTTTAAGGTACTCATTATGCACAGAGCATTTATATATAGATAGATTACATTATAATGTTATAAATATGATATGTATATACAATATATTATATTACCAATGTTGATGTTTTATCCTTCTTGTGGGAGGCTTCTCTCATGTCCCTGCAAGGGGAGCTGGAGCTGACAGAGGGAGCTCATATCCCACTCTCCCCAGATTCGAACCTCCGACATATTGGTGTTCAGTCCAGTCTGCACAAGGGTTTAACACATTGCGACACCAGGGGGTTCAAGTGAGAAGGCGGGAGAGGGGTGGGCCAAGGCGGCCCAGAAGAGAAGCCAACCCCGGGCCAAGGGGGGACTCCCAACCTTGAGGTGGGGCGCGAGCACCTAAGATTCCTGGCACGTGGCCGAGCCGAGTGGGGCCTTGGGGGGGGGGGTGAGGGCCTCCCACTTGGAGGCCCAACGGTCGAGGGCTACCTGGAGCCTGCGCGCGCACCTGGCGCCCTCAGCCCCCGCCAGGAGAGAGCGCCCGCCCCGCCCTCCAGAAAGGGGCTCGTGGGAGCAAAGCCACGCCCCCAGCCCCCGCCCCGCGCGCGCCCCGCTCCTCCCTCGCTTGCTTTCCCTCAGAGTCCGAGCTGTGGCCGATGGAGCGAGGGAGGCTCGCGCGCTGAGGAGGAGGAGGGGGCGCCTCTCTCAGCCCCTCTGAGGGAACCATGAAGCCGTTCAAGGGGCAAAGTTCCTCCGCCGGCAAAGGTGAGTCTGTCAAGCTTTCCTCTCAGCTCGGGTCTCCCTTGAATGCTGCCCCCTTCTCGCCAGTGTTGGGCTGGGGATGCTTTGGGGGTTCGGAGGGGGGCGGGGCCCTCTTGAGGCGGGGTCCCCTCAGGATGTCCTAGCCTTGGCCAGGCCCGCCCTCGCTGGGTTTTGGGGCGCCTCTTGCCACAGGTACGGAGGGAAGGGAAGGGAAGGAGGAGCCCGCTCCCGCTCTTTTGAATCCTTGCTCCACATCGAACCTGAGGCGACTTTAGATCACCACCTCCCCTCACTTAAGGTGAGCCAGACTTAGTGGGTTAACTTGCTGACCGAAAGGAGTGGCGTGAGCCAAGCATGTAGCCGGGGGGGGGGGGGGTGGGGCTTCAGCCCCCCCCCCCGAGGCGGCCCTAGGTAATTTTCAACGGTAAGCAAACAGTATTTTGGCGTCCCCCCCCACCAATCACTGATATATATTTTCTGTTCGTCGTGGGAGTTCTGTGTGCCATATTTGGTTCAATTCCATCATTGGTGGAGTTCAGAATGCTCTTTGATTGTAGGTGAACTATACATCCCAGTAACTACACTTGCCGCATTTGTTCCCTTGCCTGGCCCGCTTTGGGTCCGGAGGCATGCCTGAAGACCCCGGCGTGTGCACCAAAAGTCACCTCTTCTCCTGATTTCTCCTCAGCCATTGGGACTAAGAGAGAGAGAGAGAGAGGTGGAGATGCCCACCTTTCCTGAAGGTAGGCGCAAAAACAAAGGAGGGAGCGGAGGTGGGAGATACCTCCAGCCGGAGGGTCTCTCTCTCTCTCTTGGTCCCAATGGCTGAAGAGAAAGTCAGGAGAAGAGGCGACTTTTGGTGCGCACGCTGGGGTCTTCAGACACGCCTCCGGACCCAAAGCGGGCCAGGCGCGGCGGCTCCGCCCCTTGGCCCACCCGTGGATTGGGGAGAGGAGAGGAGAGGAGGCGGGTGGAGCGCCGGGGGATCGGGAAAGGGAGCCAGTCATGGGGAAGGGATCGAACGCAGAGAACGATTGAGCGCCAGCTCTGCTCGCGCACCCGAAGGCCGGGTAAAGGAAACAAAAGAAAAAAAAGGAAAGAGAGCGCCGGGGATCGGGAAAAGGGTCATGGGGAAGGGATCGAACGCAGAGAACGATTGAGCGCCGGCTCTGCTCGCGCACCCGGTGGAGCAGGAACGAGAGGGGCTAGGCGAGGCTCAAGGGCCCGGCCCCTTTGGGAAGAGGATCATCCGCAGCGAGGCAAGAAAGCCGAGGCTCCCCCCGGACTGCTAGGGCTGTTGTGAGCTGAGGGGGCGCTCCTCAAGTGGCAGTCGAGGGGCATTTACAGAGGCGCCTCTGCGCCCCTGGCAAAAAAAGTGTTCTGCGACCGCTTACTTCGCGTAATGGATGAGCCGCCCCTGCCCCCCCCCCAAATTCTCATGGTGGTTCACGAAAAGGCCTTACTGGTGCATTATTTAAACTGTTATGTTTATTCATACCATTCAATATATCCATATGCATGGGGGTATTGGGGTAATGATACAAAAGGTTTGCTAGGCTAGACCCTCTTTCACTCAGACTCAGCCCCCCCCTGAAACTCAGCCCCCCGAAACCCCCCCTGAAAAAAATTCAGCCCTCCGCCCCCGAAACGAAATCCTGGCTACGGGCCTGGCGTGAGCTCCCACTGTTAGTCCCAGCTTCTGCCAACCTAGCAGTTCTAAAACAAGGAACATGAAAGGCACTGCAGACTACTTCAACCAGAGAAGTCAGCCATAGCAGAGCACCTGATGAACCAACCTGGACACAGCATATTATTTGAGAACACAGAAATGCTGGACCACTCTCACAACCACCATGTCAGACTACACAGAGAAGCCATTGAAATCCACAAGCATGTGGACAATTTCAACAGAAAGGAAGAGACCATGAAAATGAACAAAATCTGGCTACTCTAAAATTACAACACCAAAACAACAGTGGGGAAACAATCAGAGACATCTAATCACCTCTCAACAAAAGATTGCCCCAGGCACTGCCAGGCCATCAAATGCTAATCAAGGTGGTCAGTTGAAACATTCACACCTAGCTCCAGCAGACAAGAGTTCTTTGTCCCACCCTGGTCATTCCACAGGTATATAAACCCATTTTCCTAGTTCCAACAGACCTCACTACCTCTGAGGATGCTTGCCATAGATGCAGGCGAAAAGTCAGGAGAGAATGTCCCTAGAACATGGCCATATAGCCCAAAAAAACCTACAACAACCCAGTTCTAAAACAGTACATCAATAGGTACCACTTCTGCAGGAAGGTAACAGTGCTCCATGTGGTCATGCTGGCTTAATACAGCTTAATGGTGTAACATTAGAAAATGTTGGCCGTCTCTGCTACCTTGGCAGCCACCTCTCCACAAAAGTCAACATTGACACTGAAATTCAACACCGCCTGAGCTCTGCAAGTGCAGCATTTTTCTGAATGAAGCTGAGAGTGTTTGAGGACATCCGTAGGGATACCAAGGTGCTTGTTTATAAAGCTATTGTCCTCCCAACCCTGCTATACGCCTGCGAGAGGTGGACAGCCTACAGATGTCACATGCAACTCCTGGAACGATTCCATCAGCGCTGCCTCCGGAAAATCCTGCAAATCTCTTGGGAATACAAGCGGACAAATGTCAGCATGCTGGAACAAGCAAAGACCACCACCATTGAAGCGATGGTCCTCCGCCATCAACTCCGCTGGACTGGCCATGTTGTCCAGATGCCCGACCAACGTCTCCCAAAGCAGTTGTTCTACTCCAAACTCAAGAACGGAAAATTGAATGTTGGAGGACAGGAAAAGAGATTTATAGACGGGCTCAGAGTCAACCTTAAAAACTTTGGCATAGACACTGAGAACTGGGAAGCCCTGGTCCTTGAGCGCTGCAGTTAGAGGTCAGCTGTGACCAGCAGTGCTGCAGAATTTGAAGAGGCACGAATGGAGGATGAAAGAGAGAAATGTGCCAAGAGGAAGGCACGTCAAGCCAACCCTGACTGGGACCGCCTTCCACCTGGTAACCAATGCCCCCACTGTGGGAGAAGATGCAGATCAAGAATAGGGCTCCATGGTCACCTATGGACCCACTGCCAGGATACTACACTTGGAGGACCATCATCTTCAGACTATGAGGGATCACCTAAGTAAGTCACGCTGGCCACATGACCTTGGAGGTGTCTACGGATAACCCCAGCTCTTTGGCTTACAAAAGATGAGCACCACCCACCAGTGTCTGGCATGACTGGACTAAATGTCAGGAGGAAACCTTTACCTTTAGCCTTGGGGGGGGGGGGGCATAACTGTAGTCAGGAGTATCGCAGAAGAGTCATCAATCTATCACAGAATAGATGGGACTGAGGCACCTGGGGCCACCCTCTTGGATGGGGAGCCCGCAGCAGACTGCCTTTCTGAGGGAGGCAAACTACACCCAGGATCCCTTGCCTAAGCAAACCCTTCGCAACTCCTGTGACTGGCGAAAGTCTATGGACGACTTGCATCTGCCGGGGGTGCTTGGATGGTTCTTTTCCTGCAGGGCCACGAGGTCTCTTCCAGTTCTAGGATTCTAAGGCCCCATCCACATAGCTGAATAAAATCCCACATTATCTGCTTTGAACTGGAATATATGGCAGTGTAACCCCCCTCCCCAGTGGGGCAGCAGGTTAAACCACTGATCTGCAGAACTTGCTGACTGAAAGTGAGCAGGGTGAGCTCCTGCTGTTAGTCCCAGCTTCTGCCAACCTTGCAGTTAAAAACATTCAAGTGTGAGTAGATCAATAGGTATCACTTTGCTGGGAAGGTAACAGCGCTTCCTGCAGTCATGCTGGCCACATGACCTTGGAGATGTATATAGACAATGCGAGCTCTTTGGCCTAGGAATGGAGATGAGCATCACCCCCCCCCCCCCCCCAAAGAGCCAGACACGACTAGGGGAAACCTTATATTCAGACTTAGCCTCCCAGTTCAAAGCAGATATTGTGGGCTTATCTGCCTTGATAATCTGGGTTATATGGCTGTGTGGAAGGGCTCCAAGGAGCCCTAGCCCTCCAGCACTCTAACTGGAGGGCAGCTGTTACCAACATCGTTGTATTCAATCCCAAGGAGTATACTTCAGTTGCATGCATGTTCAATAAAAAGAAAGTTAAATTGTTCTTATTATTTTTGGGACAGACCACGTATGTTGAAGGAGAGAATAATAATCGTTCTATTGTGGATTTTGAAGAGGCACAAATAGCGAAAGTGAGAAACGTGCCAAGAGAAAGGCACATCAAACAGACCCTTGTCAAGACCACCTTCCATCTGGAAATCTATTTTTTCTCATTGCGACGGACCATGTGGATCCAGAATAGGTCTTCAGAGTTACTTATAGACCCATCACCAAGACTCTACTTCTGGAAGAGAATCATTCTCGGCACAAGTGACAGCCTACTATGAGGTCTATCCATCAAAAGGCATTGTGGGAAGTACTATCTTGGGTGGCCGAGTAAGATTCTTTTCCAGAAATAGAGTCTTGGTGGTGAGTCTGTAAGTGACTGTAGAGACGTGTTCTGGATCCTCATGGCCTGTCGCAATGAGGACATAGATTTCCAGATGGAAGGTGGTCCTGACAAGGTTTGGCTTGATGTGCTATTCTCTTGGCATGTTTCTCCCTTTTGCCCCTCTGTTCGTGCCTCTTCAAAATCCACAAGAACAGAACTATTATTATTCCCTCCTTCAATATACATAGTCTGTTCCAAAAAGAATGAGAAGAATTTAACTTTCTTTTTATTGAACATATATGCACCTAAAATACAATCCTTGGCAATACCGGCATTGCTGCCATTCTTCATAGCAGTGGAGGAAGCTATTACTTGAGACGTTGTTCAAAGCCTTCATCGCAGCTGCCTGGACCTTTTCAATTGCCGCAAAAGGATGTCCTTTGAGGTGGGTTTTGAACTCTAAGAAAGAAACCACACAGCGCTAAGTCAGGGCTATGTC